AGAGAGAGAGAGAGAGAGAGAGAGAGAGAGAGAGAGAGAGGAGGGGAAAAAGAAAGAAAGAAAAAGAAAAGGGAAGAAGAGAAACGATCGTTTCGTCACGATCGATCGTAAATTGCTGCGTAAACTAAAAGCTTCTGATAACTCGCGGTGTTCTATTTCGTTTTTCCTTTGCGTTTTCGTTTTCTGGAGGGGGAAAGAGGAGGGAGGGCATTCAACGATTCTTCGATGAATCCCTCGTTATAGTCAGTTGAGTCACAGTTGAGGTTTAATTATGTGTCGTTGTGACGATTTTGCAATGTGTTCTATATGCTTGAGTAACGTGAAGTTGTATACACGAGGTAAACGTTTACGTAAATTCGTAACTTTTTTATCGGTAGATAATTGTTTAAATGGAAGATAAGATTCGATTGTTCGCGTTCCAAATATAGTAATGAATATTTTATTTCAAACTTTACACTTTATTCTTTCATTTTTTGAATATTTAAATGAACAAATAAATAAAGAAACGGAAGGTAAGATTTGTGTTCTAAATACAATAACGAGTATTTTGTTTCAAATATATATTATAATATATTATTATAATATGTTGCTTGATATTTTGATTCGATTTAAATAAATCATTCCAAGTTATTCCATCGTTCTTGTAATACGATAAAATGAAATAATTCGTCAACTTGCCCTCTCGTTTCCGTGAAATCAATCGAACAACAATTAATCGAATTATTACTCGAAGATCGGAACTATAAAAATAATCCCACAATCGTGTCGCAATCTTTGCCACTTGTTCAACGAGATCTTTTATCTTCCATCGATAATTTTCAAATTTTCAAAAAAATCCGTTATAGTAATAATACATAACAATTTGCCAATTCGCACAATTCGCACGAAGATTCGGGTTTTGATCGGTCGCCGTCAATGCGATGAAATTAAAACGAAATGGAAATTGGCTCTCGGAGCGAAGTGTGAATGAGGAAGCCGCGTGGGACGGATCCTGTAATTGGAACTTCTTGTTTGAATTTTTTATTTGTCAACGTTGCTCGATTTATCCCATAAATAATTCATAACGCGTATCCAGCTTCGATGATCTGCATAAAGGAGTTTGACGTTGCACTGGTGGGTAAGTAGATGCGTGTGTTATGCGCATCGAATCCATTCTTTTATTATCTGTACACTGTACACCGGGTGACGTCAGGCTGATAGCGCAAAGACGCGTGTTTACACGCGAACGAGGCTGTGTACTCTGGTTGTTATCGGTGTAGCGGCAAGTGTTACGAGCTACTATATAAGCATGCGACAAATAATATAAAGAGGAAATCGTGGCAACAGATATCATCTCTCGCTCTCTTTAAATTTACCGAGCCCCGATTTCGAGCGAGGCTCGATAAGATTTCGACTCGTCGAGAATCGTGGAAAACGAACGAATCGAGAAATCGAGAATTCGTTTTATGAATTATGATAAATTCGTGTATACGTATATTTTCGTTGGATCGTGATAAATTGATGAAATTACACTTGTGCCTCGCAGCTTCTCAAAATTAATAATAACTTGTCAGCAAATTTAACGTGACACGCGACTCTTAACACGTCACGTTTACGAATAAATGACTTCATCGAAATGTTAATTTGTGACGCGCGTGGTATCTTCCATTTTTCTTCTACTTTCTTTCTTTTTTACAAATTTTTGATATATTGATTGCGTTTATTTCTTCTAATCTCGAGAAACTCAGTCCTCGGTGCAATAAACGAATTATTCGGAATTATTCAGATTTCTTTTTCATATCAGAATCCTACGATTATTCTTCGTTCAGAAAATATCGATTCTATTTTTCACAATTTTTTGGTTCCTCATTTATTAAAA